CAATGGGAAAACGGAGTTCCGAAAGGGAACGGAGTTTTCAGTTTGCTTGATGGGAGTAGCCATACCGGCGAGTGGAGTAAAGAAATGAAAATCCAGCAACACAACGGAAGTTGCGATTTAGGAGATGCGAAAGAGAAATTGCAGAGCAATGGGGCTGTTGAGACTGAGAGTCTGACCGCAGCATTCAGGAAAAGGTCTTCGGTGGACGCTGCCAGAGGCAGCTCGACGGAGAGGAATTTTCCGAGGATTTGCATTTGGGAATCGGACGGTGAGGCCGGCGATATCACTTGTGACATACTCGATAATGTGGAGGCTTCGATGTTGTATCGAGATGGATTTAGGCAGTTTAGGCGGAGCCCTTGTTGTGTTACCAATGATGCGAAGAAACCAGGACAGATTATTTCCAAGGGGCATAAGAATTACGAACTCATGCTCAATCTCCAACAGGGTATTAGGTAATAATCGAATCAGTCGCCCTACTTCATCTGAAATGCTCTGTTCTCCAACTGGGTACATGATTGATGCTGTTCTTAGGGTTTCTTTTCTTCCGTCTTTGGTTTTGATTGGCTTTTACTGCGGTTTCCTATAGGTATTCTGTTGGGAAGCACGCTTCAATCCAGCGGGAACTTAGGCCGAGTGATTTCGATCCGAAGGAAAAGTTCTGGACGAGATTTCCACCGGAAGGATCCAAAGTTACACCCCCTCATCAATCCGTGGATTTTCGTTGGAAGGATTACTGTCCCTTGGTGTTCAGGTACTCATTTTTCACAGTTTATGTTCAGTTCAATTGTTTTGTTGTTTAATCAGTGACTAAGTTCTCGCTGCAATTCTTGTGTGTAACGTAGACGTCTGAGGGACCTGTTTCGAGTTGATCCAGCTGATTACATGGTAGCTATTTGTGGAAATGACACCCTCAGAGAGCTCTCTTCTCCAGGAAAGAGTGGAAGTTCCTTCTACTTAACCCAGGACGATAGGTTTATGATAAAGACGGTGAAGAAATCGGAAGTAAAGGTCGGTTGCCCTCTAATACCAATTCCATAACCCATATAGGATACTGATTGGATTTGTGTAGTTTGTAGTGTCTTCTACTCTTTTTGTTGAATTGCAAGATATGTTGGAGCGTTATCATTGATGAAATTTAGTACTTCTTTTTCAGGTTCTCATCAGGATGCTGCCGAGTTATTATGAGCATGTTTGTCGTTACGAGAATTCTCTTGTGACGAAATTCTTCGGCGTACATTGTGTAAAACCAATTGGTGGGCCAAAGGTGCGTGGTGTTTTATGCTAGATTTTGGTTTGTTATGCTTTCCCAGATATACTACAGTTAAAATGTATCGATTCTAACTGTTATACCTTTATTTTGGAACTAGACACGGTTTATTGTGATGGGCAACTTATTCTGCTCCGAGTACCGAATTCATCGACGGTTTGATCTAAAGGGATCCTCCCATGGCCGAACAACAGATAAGCCTGCGGAAGAAATTGATGAAACCACTACACTGAAGGATCTTGATCTTAATTTTGTGTTTCGCCTTCAGCAAAGTTGGTTCCAGGAACTTATAAAGTAAGTTTTTCAACCCTCAAGAAGGTTCTTGTGTACTCGTTGTAAAGTTTTATATTAATGTTTTGAAAATATAACAGGCAAATTAACCGAGACTGTGAGTTCTTGGAAGCTGAGAGAATCATGGATTACAGTCTTCTCGTTGGTCTTCATTTCCGCGATGAAAATAGATATGACAAAATGGGCCTATCACCATTTCTATTACGTTCTGGTAATATTCTGATCTCAAAAACGTTGTCATGTGCAAACTATACGCTGGGAAGCTAAAAACCACTTGTGTTATCTGCAGGGTATAAAGATTCTTATCAGAACGAAAAGTTTATGCGTGGCTGTCGCTTTCTCGAAGCAGAGCTGCAGGACATGGATCGAGTTTTAGCTGGCCAGTATGTTTCTTGTCCATTTCTCCCATTTTTTTTACCATTGAACATTCGGACTGACTGGGTTTAATCATCCATATACAATCAACTATAGTTGTAACTTGAAGTTACATGGATTACTGGCCTTTTATCCTTTTGAAAAAAACATTTCAATGCAGTGAATTTTAAGCCGATACGTTTCATTTGCTTCCAGGAAACCTTTAATTAGGTTAGGAGCCAATATGCCAGCAAGAGCAGAGCGGATGGCTCGAAGGAGCGACTTCGATCAGTATACCCCTGGTGGGACAAGCCATTTGATCCCTTCAAGGAGTGGCGAAATCTGTGAAGTTGTCCTCTATTTCGGGATCATCGACATCTTACAAGACTACGATATCAGCAAGAAATTGGAGCACGCCTACAAATCCTTACAAGTCGATCCTATCTCAATATCAGCAGTCGACCCAAAGCTCTACTCGAAAAGATTCCGAGACTTCATAGGGAGAATTTTCATAGAGGACAGGTGAAAACAGGGAAGAAGGTGACCACCATTGGTCTACACATCTGATCGAATAAGATTTCCAACAAAAATCCGGTATCAACCAAACTCGAAGGAGTTCAGTTGCATGCAAACTTTGTACTCCAGGTTCGAACACGAGACTTGACTTGCGGTTGGAGGAGGAGCGCAAATAGCAGTCACAAGTTGGGAGGCATTCATTGGCATGTGCAAGTGTTTAATGGCTGATTTTGCAGAGCAGCCAAAGTAGGGAGGGGTAAAGCCTTTTATTATGTACATTCAATGCAAGAAAGAGGGAGGTTTGGTTTTGGTTTGGCTTTTAAGGGGTGATATTTTTTTTTTTTCAACCTTTGGACATGAAGATTTGAAAGATAGGTATATAGTTAAATGGAGAAAAATGTTGTGAGAGTCAGAGAGAAGATTCAAAATGGGGATTTGGGAGGGGGGAAGGGTGGCTTGGAATAAGAGAAAGTGTACAGCCTTACGATTATGATTTTTTGTGAAATATTTTATTCAGAAAACGCTCGTTCAATCTCTCTAGTGTTTACTAGACAGTAAATGAAAGGAGTATTCATAGTACCGAAAATTTCACAGCAAGGTTAAAAAGGGGGAGAGAGAAGGGCATTGGGCGGGAAGAGTTGTGTTGTGTTGTGTTGTGTTGTGTTATGTAAAAGGCCATGAAAAGCAGAGAGGTAGAGAGAGAGATGCGGTGGTCTTTCTTGTTTTTGCCTTCTTTGCTTACTTCTCTCTCTTTTTCATTCTTCTTTCCTTTTACCTTTTCTTATAACCCATATGGTAATTTAAACAAGATAAGTAAAATGGGTTTTTGTTCAAGTGTTTTTGCCACGTGTTGTAAGCCCATTTGTCAAAAATGTAATTTAAAAAGATGTAATTGGGAGAACACTGTTTGGCCAAGTTGTCAAAGTCAGCAGGAGAGAGAAAATAGAGTGGATGGCATGTTAAGTTTTTGTAGAGAGTGTAAGTTTGATTCTGAATTTGACCTTCTCTTGGTCTTTCTTTTCTGGAACTTTTGTTGTCTGATTGGACAAATCTCGGACCACGGGTCCCTCTAATAGTGGCTCGAGATGCTGTCATAATTTGAATTCATTTCTTCTCAGTCTCTTACTATTTACATTGGTTCATTAAGTAAATTCGAGACCGAATAGACACAGCGAAACCAACTGGGGATGGGCTTCGATTAAACTAAGGGACAGAAGTCAACTGTCCCGGCTGTAAAGTCATGTTGCCAATGCGTACCCTTAAACCTATGAACTCGGTCACACAACCATATTCAGGCAAACTTTGTTGTCAAACATTATTACTAAAATTTGTCCTTTTTTTAAAAAAACAAACCAATTTAAATATTAATTTCCCTATGGTTTTAACTGGAAAGCATGCATGGTTATGCCTTCTCTGACTCTCTCAACGTGCTCACAAGTTTCTCAGACTGGAAAAAAAAAACAAAAAAGCACTCAAACACAATATTATACTCCATCAAATCATTACCCCAAAACCCATTATCAAAATAAGCTACATACTCTATAGTTTGGCGTGAAGAAAGAAAAAAAAAAAACTGAGATTTGGATCAGGATTCCTCACTTTTATCAACCCCATTCCCTTTTTTTTTTCTCGGGAAACAAACAGAGGATGATCAGGAGAGAAATTTCGAATAACGTTTAAGCGCACGAAAATCGAGATATATTTGGTAAAATCCAGAGGCCAGATTGTGGCCTGTGGCTGATATTTCAAAACCCTCTTGCATGCCTCAAAAGCAAAAAGGAAAAAAAAATTATTTAAATTAAAATAAGAAACAAGTGAGAAGAGAATATCTTGATTCAGAGATTTCATCAGCGATGATTGTGTTCTCCATCTCCGGCGGCTCTTGGCTCAACTCTCATGCTTTTATTGCACCATATGTTCTTTGCAAATGCACTACTGTTCCCTGTTCCAGATTTTTTTCAACTGTTGAGATTTTTCTTTTGGTTAAATGGAGCTGCTTAATGATTACGTGGGTCAATGTTGGATTTAAAAGCAGATAAAATAATATATGGAGATAAAGTTGTGAAGAATATGAATGAACGTGAATCTAAAGATGGAAAAGAGGAGAAGAGAGAGATGGGGGCAGTTTTCAGTTGATGGGTAAGAAAAAGAAATGGAAGAAAAATGAAGTGATTCACAGAATGCAGCAAAGAAGGAAGAGACAAGGAAAGGAAAAGAGGACCCATTTGTAATGTATGGTTAAATACAGTATGACAATGAAACTTTAAAGAAGATGATGAAGACAATTCATGGGGTTGAACAAACCATAAAAATAAATAATGGTGTAAGTGCAAATGTTCCAAACAAGATCTTCCATTTGTCCATTGGACTAACTTCTCTTCGCAGATGAAACCACTTTATTTTGCTACACAACTTGAAGAGATATCATATTTTTTGTTTTCCCACTAAATTATTGACGAGGCTCCTAGTTCTAGTTGTCTTTTTTTTTTTTTAATGATAATGTTAGTATTTGTGTGTGATTTGTAAATAAGAATTAAAGATGAAAATTTTATATATTTTTAATGATGATGTTAGTATTTCTTAGTATACTTGCTAAAGTACTCTTGATGGATAGTAATCCACTTACTCGTGGCTTTTTTTTCTTGTGTTCGAATTTTTTGGTGAATTTAATACAAAAAATTCTTGATATCTTTTGAAATCATATACAAATTTCTCAGTTGTGATTTTGTGTTATAAAAAAGAAACAAAAAAACATGTTGTACATTCCTTTTCGATGTCTCTTGGATTGAAGTTGGGTAACTTCCTAGTTGATTCACTGTCTTTGAACTCAAAATACAACCCGATGGTAATTTCATGATATAATTGTCAAAATTGAAAGAATTAGAAAAACTGACCAAAAATAAACTTGAATGATTGACACTTGATCAATCAACAATTGGCTGGTAACTTAAGAAATGAATTGACATTTAACATTTAATATAGTCAATTAATAATAAACGGTTGACATTTTGAGAAGGTAAATTAAAGATTAAACAATAAAGTCTTTTAACATTTTAATATAATCTTTTAATGTAAGACGAAGCTAAGAGAATTGTGGTGAGAGTCAAAAGTTGCAATTTGGAAGTGAATTCCATTGATTGGTTAATGAATCCAAGTGGAATCTTTCATCGTAAATCGAACCTTCTCCAAAACTGTTGGGTGAATTCGAGTAAAAGAGCCTAAACGCCAATAGCATTTACAAACCCATTAAATAAATTAAATGCCAATGCCAAACAAAGGATTAAAAAGAACTCAATAAATGACTGAATTATCAGTTAGGCAGAAATCTACAGTAACTCATTATTTTATTGCATAGTTGAATATTTTTTTTCCAATGTTCGTAGTGTTTTCAGATTTTAAAACTAGCATAATTACATTAGATAAATTTTTTTATAAATATGAGGTAAAATATACATTGTAAATTATATAATATTGTAAAATAATAATTCTACAAAATTTTAAGAAAATGTTAATAAATTAATTAATATTATTTTAGATTGAACCAAATGTTAGTCGGTAATTATCCATAGTTTACGAATATTACTAAACATTAAATTGAAGTTCATTTTTCAAATCTTAGACCAAACACATCTCCGAAAATAATGAAAAACAAAAAATACAACTTTATTTTTTTTTATTGAATCTCTTATTTTTAGACCACCAATCAAATGCACTCTTGTTATTTCTGCGAACTCATTAAACATTATGACATGCAAACTTATCATTATTCAGAAATATTTCGAGTATATTTGAATATATATAAAATTTAAGAGAATAAATTAATAAAATTCTCAAACATTAACTACAAAAACATGAGCAGTCAACTTTTTGAAGGGGCAGTTTCTTCTTTTTTTNGGGTCATGTTCGACTTAAATGGGGGCGGCCATTGATGCTGGGAAAAAGCCTTTTCCATTCCCAACATCGGCCCTTGTCTATTTGTCTTCTGGGGAACACTTATTATTTTAAAAAATAAAAATAAAAATAATTTCAGTCTCACTTATTGCCCGTTTTATTTATTTATTTATTTACTACATTTTCATATACTATAACTATAATATCTTGCCTTCCCCATCTACCTAACTTAACTATTTTTGTCCCCCCTCTCAAACATATTAAATAATTAATCTTCATTATAAAATACCATTGGGAAATTTATCCCACTTTTATTTTGGGAATTGGTGGAACTTGTAGTATCATTTTGTTTGCACAAGAGAAAATATTTCATTATGAAGTTTATGTGGCTCCACTTTTTATCTTGATGGAGCCAACCAGGGGACGCCACGTGGAATATAGTACACACGTTCGTTTGTTAATAATGCGCATTAATTAAGTGTTAGAGACGTGTTTGTGGAAAAATGATTGGATTGGTTGTCTTCCCGTGCTTCCAATCCATTAATAAAGACCTAATTTTTAGTTTATTATGAATATAAATATCAGATAATTGTTTATTTTTTAAACAACAAAATCAAATTTATTTGAAGTTTTTTTTTTATTTTTTTTTCTGAAATATAAATAAAAGAATTATTTTAGTATTCCGACTTATAAAATACATCATAAATATTAAAAAATTAGTAATAACATAAAAGTCCTTTAATATAAAAATTAATTTTTATATAAATTTACAATTTAAGACTACCATAAGAAATGGTTACCAAATATATTTACGTTTTTTTAATAAAAAAATAAATAATAAAAAATAAGAAACAGAACACAATTATATTTTATTTCTTAAAAAATGTAAAACTAAAAACCAAAAATAAGAAACAGAACGTTATCAAACAAGTCTTAAAAGACTCAATTTTGTGAAGACTTAATATAGAGAGAAAAAAGTTTAAGTAATTTTTCAAATGGAAGGTGTGGGTCTCTATCCAATATAATCTAAAATCTGAAACCTGCAACGTGTCATACCTTAATTATTTAAGGTATTTTAACCTTATAAAAAATTATAAAAAAAATTAAAAATAAAAAACCTATCCGATAGCTCAATGTCAAAGGCTTTGGATTGGGTGAATTGTGGCTAGCCTCACTACATTATGATGGCAACTTACAACTGTCTCAAACAAGTTAGTGAAACTTTTAAAGCATGTTTCTTGCTATGCATAGTGTGTGTATATATATATATGAATCTAAGCTTTAAACTTATGAAACTAACTTTCTATTTTAATGCTGGATCTGATCATTAAAATTTTAGATTTTGTGTCAATTTAGTTTAGAACTATAAAAAATAAGTCCCTAAACTTTTAAAGGTACGATTACTAATAAGTTTTAGAACTTTTAATTACGTGTCTTTTAATTCAATTAGTTTAATAATTATGTTATCAAATATACTTGAACTTGTCCAATATCAACTCAACTCGACTTGTCATCCTTAGATATAATTGATTCAATGTGACACAAAATTCATAAACTAACAAAATTGGCAACAATGGACTGTTAAATTGAAAGATGAATGATTTATTATAAATGACTTCTCAAAGTATAGAGATTAGATAAATAC